ACATTTGAAACAAATTACAATTAGGAAAAACAAATCCTGCGCACTTGAAAGGAATCTTTGAGAACAATTAACAATTTGAAATAAGAAAATTAATATAACTTTCAATTAGAAGCAAATAATTTACACAAAATTAGAGAATCAAGATTTTGTCCACGATAATGAAATATTTTGTCTATGGTAATAAATGCTTTTAACCCGTCAGCACCTGCAACGGGACATTTCCCACCCCACTCTTATATTTTTAGTAAGAAAAGAAGAAATGCCGTACGTGACTGTTCTGGTATTTCCGTTACCTTTCAGGGTTGAGTTCATAAAGGCGTGGTTGAAAGGAATTTTTCCCAAGATGTCTGAATGGCTGGATTATTTACGAATAAAGAGCTGTGGGACAGTAGCAACCCCGCGCGATGTGGAATGCTCTACTTGTATTCACTACTTCAGTCGAATCAAGTGCGTAAGAACGTGAACAAGAGGGACTGCGGGCTCTGCTCGCGAGTGCTGAAACAGATAGTGAAATAGAAGATCCTGAATCAGAGCATGATAATATATCAAAAAGTGACCACAATACACATCCTGAACAACAACATGATGTAAATGATTTATGTGTCACGTCTTCTGTCTCATCCGAAGATTTCTATGTGGGAAAAGATGGAACAAACTGGTCTAAAGTGTGGCCTTTCAAAAATGTTCGGACTCCATCGAAAAACATTGTAACCCATTTACCTGGTGTAAAAAAACAATATCGAAATTTAAAAACTCCAGTTCATTGTTTACTTCAAATTTTGGATGATGATATTCTAGAAGATTTGGTCAACTATACTAATATTTATATTTCAACAATAAAAGATAAATTTTCCAGAGAAAGAGATGCTCTTGAAACAAATGTAGCTGAACTGAAGGCTTTGTTTGGTATTGTTATACTATGCTGGTGTTTTGAGAGCAGCGCACCTGAACGCAAAAGACTTGTGGTCTACTGATGGTTTTGGAGTTACTATTTTTAGAAATACAATGACACTCAATCGTTTCCATTTTCTTTTGAGATGCATTAGATTTGATAATATAAATTCGCGATCACAAAGAAAAGAAACTAATAGACTCGCATCTATTAGGGACATTTTTGAAAAATTCTTGAAGAACATACAGAAACTGTACTCTCTCTCAGAATATTGCACGGTTGATGAAAAACTTGAAGCATTTAGAGGAAGGTGTCAATTCAGACGATACATGAGAAATAAGCCAGACAAGTATGGTATTAAAATTTTTGCTTTATGCGATTCTCGCACGTTTTACACATATAGTTTAGAAATTTATGCCCGACAACAGCCTATCGGACCTTACAGGCAATCAAATACGGTATCTGATGTCGTCAAAAGAATCATTTCTCGGATAAAAGGAACATGTAAGAACATAACAATGGACGATTGGTTCACGAGTGTTCCTTTAGCGACTGATTTATTACACAATTATGAACTTACCTGCGTCGGTACACTTCGAAAAAATAAAAGACAAATTCCGTTAGAAGTTTTACCTCGTATAGGTAGACCTGTACACTCTTCACTATTTGGCTTCAAAAAATAAGGAACTCACTTTAACATCGTATGTTCCAAAAAAAAAAAAAAATGCATCGGTCCTGGTATTGTCATCCATGCAAGATGACAACAAAATTGATCCAGAATGAGGCGAACAGAACAAACCCGAAATGATAATGTTCTACAATATGATTAAAGGTGGTGTTGATACTGTAGGCGAATTATGTGGAACATATTCTGTTTCAAGAAGATGCCGACTTTGGCCGCTTACAATATTTTTTGGACTAATGAATATTGCCGGGATTAATGCATTCATAATACACAACTCTAACCATGAGCAGAGTAATATGAAACGAAGGGATTTCTTGAAGGAATTATCATTAGCACTTGTAAAAGAACATGCAGTAATTCGGTCAAATATCACATCTCTACCCATTGCACTAAAAATTGATGGGACACTGAATGCCAGAAAACACATTGACACTATTCTAGAACCAAAATTTCTACCTTCCATCAGAGATCTCTTTCCCAACAATGCTTCATTTACTTTTCGGCAGGATTCTGCTTCTTGCCACACGGCCAAAATATCGAAAGAGTGGTTTCGTACAAAGAACATTAAATTGTTGTCATGGCCAGGAAACAGTCCTGACCTCCATCCTATCGAAAATTTGTGGCACCGTTTGAAATCTCTTGTCCGAATGAGGCGCCCATCAAATAAAAGGGAACTAATTGAGGCTATAATTGTTTCCTGTCATAATGTAATAACGAAAGCAGAGCTTAACTCTTGTCAGCTCAATGAAACGTCGATGTGAAGCTGTAATTAAAAATAAAAGGCACCCTACTAAGTACTGATAACTCACTGCAATGATCACTATCCGATGTATATCGATAACTATTATCGTTTAACTTTTTTTGTATTGCAAATAATTGAATTTTGTGTTTTGTATTGAATTCAGTAATAAATTCTATTTAAAATGATATATACAAGTTTGCATTTTGTGAAACGTAACGTTTTCTATAAGTTCATAAACATAAAAATTTCCAAAAGTGTCCACAATTTTGGCCACCATTGTATATCTTGTTTAGAATGCAAAAACTAATTTGTAAGAAACATGTAAATATCTTATGTGAAGATTGTTCAAAAGTAAAGATTCTGAATAATTAAAGGTTTGTTTTTCAGTTATTGTATTACTTTACTTAATTTTGATAGAGATGAAATGACAAATTGTGTTACTGAACTTAATTTCGAAAGGGATAAAATGATAAATTGTATTATTGTGCTTAATTTTGAAAGGGATGGATTGATAAATTGCATTATAATATAATTAAAAATTAAATAGAATAATTTAATTAGATTAAATAATAAAATCAACGGAATTTATTTGTTAGTTAACATTTTACTGTGAATGTAATTAAAAAATAATGTGCATTTATACATTTTATAGTTTTCTTTTGAATACCGATAATGTGCAAGACCTTAAATTAAGTCATATGTTTTAAAATACACTTAAAATTAAACATATTAAATTAATTTCATGCAAAATTATAGTTTCTGGTTTCAATCTAAGCAATAAACTTTGCTCGTTCATTATATTTAACATAAAATGTGGGCAATGAAACCTTGAGGGGAAAATTGTCCCACGCGGTTACTAACGTGGAGAAAGGGAGAGCGGATATTGAAGGATTAAAGGCAAGGCATTCTGAAGGCAGGAGATGAAAGAAAAGACTGGTTTCATAAACACTGAAGGTAGTTTAAATTGGCATCCACACATTTCGTGGAATAAATTCTTGAATCTTGGAAAGTGTCTTCTGACACATCTTTAAATACTCCATTTATGATAGTTAATTAAGGGATATGTAGAAATTAAATTTTATGCAACCTTTCAGTGTTATTTCTAGCGTCTTTTTCCATTAAACCGCGAGCACGCGCGCCGCGTGTCTCATACCCGGGGCATATTCATCGCTCCTTATCTCTCCAGCCCCCTGTTCTGGAAACGGACGAAACCTTTTGTAGCTAATTTCAAGGTCAAATTCTTGAAGTTGGGAATTCCGTCGACGGAGTTTTAGAATACTTTTCTCGGAATAGTTCCGTCGGGTTATCTGATACACGTGCACATTCTCGCGTCCCTCATATTTTCATCCTCACTCTCTTAATTAGTCAGCATGGCGCGGCATACAATTTACGATAAAGAATTGGGAAGCTGTGAAATATGGTAGAAGCCATATCAACAGATGATGTATCGTTCAGCGAAGAGGAGGAAGAATTAATATATGAAGAATACAGCAAGCAATCATAATTCCTTAACAGCCAGTCATACGGCCAAGTCATACTGCCACTGGATATTGAATTCGAAAATGAATCAAATAATAAAAATTGTAATGGTAAACATGACCTGATGTGGAAGAAAAACAAATTCCAAAAGAATGTGATGAATAATTCTGAAAACATTATCTTAAAAATTCCAGGAAATACAGGTTATTCAAACGGTTCATCAACACCGTTGGATTCCTTGTCTGTTCTCACCGATAAAGACATGACAGAAATGAGAGTCCCAATGTACAAATACTTTCATTGATTCTATTCAGGAACAGTTTCTACGTGAACAAGATGCAAAGAAAATGCATTTATGTGAAATCAAACAACGTTGGGGATGTGTGGAGTTCACAAATCCTCTCACGTCAATGTAAAAGATCTGTGAACAATGCGGAAAGGGAATAGATATTATGTACAAAACAATGTCCTGCAAGCGATTACTTTTTAAGATGTATTCGGTCTTATGATATCCGACATTGTCCGAGTAGAAGAGATGCGGATAAATTGGCTCCCATAACACAGTGTTATGAAACATTCGTTGAAAACTGTCGCAAGGCCTACACTGTGGGTGATTATGTGACAACTGACGAAAGATTAGAACCATTCAAGGGAATATGTACATTTACGGAAATACATGTCTAACAATATGCCGAATATGGGATAAATATATTTGCGTATGTTGATTCCAGCATATTTTATGCATGGAAAATGGCAACAACAGCATGGTTTGGCTAACAACAGTCAAACGGGCCATTTCAGTTTGAAAGCAAGCGCTATCGTAAAACTTTTGATGGAACCACTGTAAAATTCTGGATGTAGTTTGACTGAAGATAATTGGTATATGGGACAACATCTATCTCAGGATCTACTAAGGAAGAAAATATTTATAGTTCACAACTGTGAGAAAGAATAAGAGAGAAATTCCCCCGGATTTGCTAAAGAAAAAAAGGGTAAATTATTCATAATTTTTTTATATCTAGAAAGAATAAATGATTGTTTCTTGCACCAAAGAAAAACAGAAGTGTTGCCCTTGTGGCAATCTAATGTTCGACTGCGTGCGCAGCCAATCCACGTCATGTGGTTTATGTAAAAACTGCTAGCGCGGCAGTGAACTCACTCACTTCACCCTTAGCTGCAGCATAGGACGTTTTGAATTTTAGTTTAGTGGTTTTGTTATTTCGTCATGTTATTTCAGTTGTGTTTAAAGTTATGGTGTGTGTGAATAAAGGTTATGTTTAAGTAAATGGAGTCATGTCAATTCAAGGATATACACCAAGCATATAACCACCATGCCACCATAAAATAGTGACCCGGCGTCTACGACCATATAATGGCGATCCGGCTACTCGCATGAAGCTTCTACTGGTTGTTCGTTCAAGAGCTTGTTCCAGAACTTTTGTGTTTTTTCCCTTCGGACGCTTACATGGAGGAAACAGCAGCTGTGAAGATTCCAATTTACAATCCGATTGACCCGGCATTGTGGTTTGCTATGTGTGAAGCAACTTTTGCTTTAGCCGCACCCAAGCCTATCACGGATTCAAAGACTAAATTTAACTACTGCGTCGCTCATTTGCCGCCGGAATTCGCTGCGTTGGTTAGAGATATCATTCTCCGGGAACGTACAGATTCTTCTTACGAAGACCTCAAAGCTACTATTACGGAACGCTGTGGTGAAAGCAGTACGAGTGAAATACGGAAATTACTCACCTACGAGCAACTTGGAGATAGAAAGCCATCAGAACTTCTACGAGTAATGATTAGGAGGGTTGAAAAGTACAATGTGCCTGACTCTTTATTACTGGAATTATTCATGCACCAGATACCGCCAAATGTTCAGTCTATTCTAGCGTCGGTTGAGCCACTCGATTCATCGAAAGCTGCCAGTATCGCGGATAGAATGTTGGAGGTTACATCCGATCAGGTAAGCAGTTTCTTCGCGTGTACCTCTCAATGTCTCTGAGAATACTAAATTAGATTCCCTGTTGGAGGAACTGTGCAAATTGCGTAGCGAGGTTTTTTGTCTCTACGACAATCACGCAGTACTTCCAAAAATCGCTATAACAGGAAACGAAGCCCTTCAACTAAAGCTGCTTCGAACTGTTCCTATTGTTGGTATCGTCATAAATTTAGCGATAAAGCTAAAAAGTGTGTTCCACCATGTACATTTCAGGGAAATGTGCCAGGGAAAGTGTAGTGGAGATATGCGCTTTACCCTCTGAGTCTCGTCGCCTTTTCATTAGAGACAGGAAATCGAATAGAATATTTTTGTGCGACCCTGGCTCAGACGTCAGTCTTCTTTCAGAAGCAAGACAGGAAGCGCGCCAAACATCTATCATGACGTTTTCTGCAGCAAATGGTACGTACCCCTATTCAAGTTTATGGACAGAAAACGTTAAGTATTGACCTTGAACTTCGTCGTAATTTTAATTTTACTTTTTATGTGTGTAAAGTATCAACAAATATTATTGGATCTGATTTCTTGCATTATTTTGATTTATTACCTGATTTAAGGAACAAAAAACTTGTTGATTTAAAAACACATTTAAAAATTAATTGCAGTGTAATTAACACACATTTATATTCTGTTAAAACAATTATTCAAATTGTATTTATGATAAATTACTGTCTAACTATCCTTCACTGTCAAAGCTTCCTGATATCAATGAGACTGTTAAGCATAATACTTTTGCATTTCATTGAAACCATTGGTCCTCCTGTTTCGTGCAAGCCAAGGAGATTAGCTCCAGATAGATTAAAAATTGCTAAGCATGAAATTCAGAAAAGGATCAATTTAGGTCACATGCGACCCTCTAAAATTAATTACTCCTCTCCTCTTCACATGGTGTCAAAAAAGGGCACAAACGAATTGAGACCTGTGGGAGATTTTCGGAGGTTAAACGCTCAGACAGTGAAGGATAAGTATCCTATTCCCAATATTTGCGATTTTGCAGCGGAGTTACATGAAAAAAAGGTATTTTCTCGATTGGATTTAGTCAAAGCATATCACCAAATTCCAATTAATTCCTCTGATATCTATAAAACGGCTATTGCCACTCCTTTTGGACTTTTTGAGAGCACAAGAATGCAATTTGGGTAATGCAATGCAGCTGCAACCTTTCAACGCTTTATTGATGAAGTAACTCGCGAGCTGCCAGGAGTATTTGCTTTTGTCGAAGATATATTGATAGCGTCAAAAGACAAAAATGAGCATTTGATACACTTAAGAGCCCTTTTTGGAAGATTAAGTAATTATGGGTTAAAACTTAATGTATCTAAATGCAGTTTTGGTTTAACTTCTTTGGAATTTTTGGGTTTTCATGTATCTGAACAGGGTTTAAAACCTTTACCCGAGAGGGTAGAACAACGAGATAATATACTGGTAGAGAGCTTATTGCAACCTTCAACCGGTTCCAACATTAGTGTCACGTGACTGCTGCGCGAATTCCGAAAGTCCGGAAATACTTTACATTGCTTTCTATGGGACGAAAGATTGCTGCTCTGCTTGGTCACATAAAATTTAAGTAAAAATGGTTATTCGCTGCAGCGCCTATGGATGTAAAGAACGTTTCGTGAAAGGAGGACCTGTAACCTTTCATAGGTAAGTTAAAACTGAATGATTTATTATTTTATTTTCAGTATTTCTGTCGTTTTACATCTCTTGTTGAATTGGTTGGAAATGGAAATTTTCAGCCATATTGTACAAGAAAATTGCCGCTGTATATGACATTTTCAGCATGTATTATTAGCATCAAAATGTATTAAATACTGTGACACTATTTACTGGATTCATCCTTTACAAATAATTGAATTTTATATGTTTTTTTTTCCGTGTATTCCGTTGAAATAGAAAGCTGCGCCAATTGGCTTAACTTTTTTTCGCCAAGTCGTACGCGTTTCGATTTCATAAACAATTAGTGCTTGCGATAAAAAAGAAAAATGCTGTTATTAGCATTAAATTATTGAGAAAAGATTGTGCGATATGTTTACTTTGTTAAAAAAAGAAAAAGCTGAAGATCTTGATTCATGCAACATTGAACATAAACAGTTAAACAGCATTATTTTAAAAATCAGATTACGTTTATAGAGCTCAATGCTGTATCATTATTTTCTATAAAATCAATTAAAATAAAAATAATCTGGATTATAATTCTGTCTCATCTACGATGCTGTTAGAAATTTAATGTAATTGAAAAAAATGTGATGTAAAAACTTAACCATATTTTAAATAGTATTTAAAAAAAAAAGGAGAGTGAGAGAATTTTTAACTGTAATATCGTTTTGATCCTAATAAATACTGAGTTGAAGTTTGTTACCGTTTGATACATATTCAATATAAAATATTTGTTATAGTTAATACGATGTATTCATCCCCCCATGACATACACATGAGTGTGGAAATCAGTAATTAAGATTGCATTATTTTGTTCCAGTAAATAATCTCAGAAAAGGAGTGCATTATTATGTTTCATAATATAATCTCAAGAAAAGAGAGGTGGAGCTCATTTTAGAAGTTGAACCTGCCTGCAGTGAAATATAATTTTGTTAATAGATTTTTATTAAGAAAGAATTGTTGATGACAAAATCAAACTAACTTTTTTCACAACATTGCCTTGAGCACAAATTTTTTTTCCCATCATTAACATCTAATTTGAAAGTGACTCATTTTCTTTTAAATTCACTTGACCCTCTTTTCTCTAGAAGGCACCTTTTGACCTGTAATTTGATGTATTACAAATTGTGTTTTTTGAATGTACGTACTATTGTAAAATAATTTTAAGAGAACTTTAAGGTGGTCCAAAAGGACCCTTTGATTTCCATTCCAATACAGAATCACGAAATAAGAATTCTCATGTAATAAAAGGCTAAGGGAAAAATGCCATCCCCATATACAGACAATTATATTATTGTTTTGACTCTAATTGTAGGTATATTTACATTTCTTTCCAATGAAAAATTACTACACTTTTTAAAATTTCATGATATTTTTCAGCATGTACTTAAAGAATTCTTAAATGATTCTGAAAAATTACCATTCTTCTGCAGTATAACCTGTATGACCTGGAATACTATTATGTGTGTAATTTAATACTTCATTTGCTACTTTAGTACAATTAAGTTTTTTTTTTTTTTTTTTTTTTTTTTTTTTTTTTTCATTTATAGTTTTTCCTAAAGATCCTATATTGCATTATTGTATTTCATAAAGTTATTCATGTAGTATATAACAATAACTAGTTTCTATATTTTTGGCCAAAATTGTGTGTTTTTTGTTTTAAAAAGCTCATTACTTATTCACATATCAAAAATAAGAAATTTGGAATATACTTGACTACCATTTTGAGTAGGTGATTTTTAGTACTTGTTCTTGATATACTTTAGAATAAATAATTTTAATAAATAAAATAAAGCATTAATCCACTTAAAATAAAAATATACTACTTTGTATGTACACCAAACTTTTAAAATATGAGCAGGACATGCTTTTCAATCGAAAAGCTTTTTCTTCATCAGATGCAAGTTGGATCCTTTGCAGCTGGTGAAGAGCGAAAACTTTTTATTCAAAACGTGCGTTCTGCTCTTTAAAAGATTAGTGTTCATGATAAGTAGTATATTTTTGTTTTACTTAATTTTTGAGTGTTTATTTGTAATTAAGCCACTTACTTTATAGTAAATACTATATTTAAATGCACATTTCATAATGTGTTTATTTAATTGGGATACAGGAATAAATAGAATATGTATTGTCATGTTTGAATTTATAATTCAGAAAGAAAATTTTATTTTGAAAATGTACATTTTACAGCTGATCTGCAAAATATGAAATCTTTACTAATTTAATGTACAGTTAAGGCAGTAGCTTCCAAGTTTGCATGAAATTATTTTCTGGACATTGCTGAATTTATAAGCACTTTAATATGCAAGTAACTGAATAAAATGGGCATAATCAATTACTTAATAAAGATCTTTTTAAAATTAAAAATTCTTTACTATCCTACATTTCCATAATGCAAGTACTATTGCTAACACCGAGAGGTCAAAAGTAAATGAAATTCTTCCAAAAACTATTTCTGACTTTAAATTAATTAAAATTATGTTTACTTAAATATATGAAAGTAAAATATTTTTCTTTTAATATTTTACTTTCATATATTTAAGTAAACATAATTTTAATTAATTAATTCAGTATAATTTATCTTTTTGTATCATAAACTATATTAAGTTTGGACAATAATAGTTTATAGTTCCAGCTGAAAGTCAACAGTCTGTAAGTATATACTCGTATTTCATCAATGGCATAAATACATGTAATACAATGTGATTTTCTTTGTCTCTTTAGGATGCAATGCATTAAAATTAAACGAGATTTTTTTACCTTCTCAAATATTATAACAGTAGTGCAATTAATTTTTTAACGTTATTCAAATTAAAGTTTCCATCTCATTTTTTATTATTTATTTTAGATTTTCTTCCTAAAATTATTTAACCTAAACATCTTAAACAATGGTGCAAATAATTTAAAGCGATTATTAAAAATATAGATAAAATATTCAGCAAAAAAGGGGTTAAGTTATATCTAAATATAATTGTAAAAAATCGAACAACCTAATTCGAGGGTTCGTGTCTGCTGACTGCTAGGAGACGGAAATAAAAAGCACTACTTGCCATATCAAAAGCGGGCCAAACTGGCGATGAACAGTCTAAGCTATCACTCCCCAAGAGCGCCAAGAGCATTAGTCACGTGGTATATGTTGGAGACATCCTAGCAGACGAATTTTCTGTGGGTGAGCCGTCTACCTGTTATAAGAAGTCGTTGGGGTAGAAGCTATTCAAAAATTTTCTTGACCAAACACATTAATTCAGCTAAGGAAATTTCTTGGCATATTTAATTTTTAGAGACGTTTTGTCCCAAGAACTTCACATGTTTTAGCTCCCATGAATAGGTTACTGGAAGGCCGCATTAATAAAAGGAAACCTTCACAACCAAGCAAAACAAAAGAATATCCTCTCGAATGGGACGCCGAAGCCAAGAAAGCATTCGAAAATGCAAAAAAGGCAATTGCTGAGGCAACCCTTCTCAAACATCCAAATCCTGGTGCGACTTTGAAACTTTGTACTGATGCATCGGACGTTGCGGTTGGTAGCTGTTTAATGTAACTGCATAATTCAGTTTGGGAACCCATTGCGTTTCTATCCGTTAAACTCAGCAAAAGTCAAAGGAAATGGTCAACTTATGATCGAGAACTATTGGCAATTTATTTGTCTATTAGGAAATTTCGCAAATGCTTGAAGGCAGGGTCTTTACAATCTACACTGACCAAACGCCCTTAATATATGCTTTTGAGCAGAAGCCCGAAAAGTGTTCTCCACGACAACTTCGTTATCTTGATTTTATTGGCTAATTTTCCACTGACATACGATACATAAAAGGTCGTGACAATATCG